TCTATAAAATTATGGGATTACAGTTATTCCCGATTGCCAATGACCCTAATAAACTTACACACTGCTTATATATAGCTAACTATTTAGTATTTTAAATATTTATCACAGACCAATGACGTAAACACACTTGACAGATAAAAAGAATAATTAAGATGTATATATAAAAAAAAAAAAAACTAATTCACGAAGAGAACCGATTCTTCACATCAGAAAAAGACAATCTACATTCTTTGGTCATGTGATGAGAGGGAGAAAACTGGTGTACATCGTGACGGCAGGAACGTTGGAGGGGAAGAGAAGCCGGCGGAAACCGAGAGAGACAGAGAGAGAGAGAGAGAGAGAAAGAGAGAGAGAAAGAGAGAGAGAGAGAGAGAGAGAGAGAGAGAGAGAGAGAGAGAGAAAAAAAAAGAGAGAGAGAGGATGCTAGACATGTTTTATGCCATTGCATGGAAGATCATCTTTGTCAGAAATGATCAAAAGTACACGAGACAGGAGGCTGAAGATAGACACAACGACCAATGCCACTCGGCAATGAATATATGCTGAAGAGGAGCTATAACAAAGTATACACTACTCACAGTTTAGCTTGTAAAACACACCCGCGGACAGTCGGAGACCGTATTAGTGTTACCTTTCCTTTAAAGTAAACAATGCAGATTGAGAGAGGGATCCTGATGCGTATGGTCACTGTAATATTCTATGTTATAGAGCGCGGAAACTTTATTAGTATGACACACAAAACAGTGACGTCTGCACACACACACACACACACACACACACACACACACACACACACAAACAGTGTCGGACAACTCAAGACTAGCTCATAACACGACAAAAATAACCCATAAAAGTGATTATATTGCCCCCCGCCCTTCTAGAACCTGACTCGAACCGTTTTCACTAAACATAAATCATCGTCTGCAGAAAAACAAAATAACCTGAACTTGTGAATCGCTCATAAACCATAACAACACTGTCTTCTTACTTATTGACTGGTGAATATTGTTTGTTTATTTTATGTTTGAATTGTGAGTGAGTAAGTTCACAGGAAAAAGTTGCAGCCGATAAGAAAGAAGAAAGTCGATGGTGATAAATGTTCACTTTATTTCAAGCGGCGAGAGCGCTGATTCAGATACATGTTTACTAAACGTAAACAAATTTTGACTCTGAGCTTTCCGGTTGAAGAACAATTAATCATTGTTACCAAACAGCTGGTTCTTTACAGCAGTGTTCTTCAACCTGTTTTCACGCCCGCGGTCCATTGAAACATCGTGAATTGTTTCGACTGGCTTACCAAACGCAGAAAAATATCAAACGTAAAGTTAAGGACCCTTTTTCACACCTTTCAGGCGTATTGGAAAAATAGGACTAGACCTATATTGTTATAGACAATTGGCACTTGGTGGGTGTTGTGGTCAGCTTTACGCCAGCCGCCTTTACTTCCCAGGACTGCACCTGGTTCGCATTCAACGCTGGGTCGACCTGAGAGTCAAGGTTATTTTTTTTAAGTCCGACTCTTTCCGATCCGCAGGCGGGCATCTAGCCGCCAACTCCACGAGAACTCCCAAAATCAAATGTAAATAACATTGTATTTATTCAATAATGTGTCTGAAAATTGTAATTTTTAGCGAATGCGGCATTTACTGGTGCTTAAATATTAGAAAAAACTGCTTTACTTGATGAATTGTTGTTTCTGAGAAATAAAGCGCTGCAAAAACGCTCATTTGATTTATCAGGTTTTTTTCCCTTCTAATTACTGACACAAATAGGAAGTCGGAAGACAAAAGAAGATGAGTTTACAGTTAGAAATATCATTGTCCCCTGCATGGAGCAAGAAGACAGCCAGGCGTGCAATAGAGGATTATAATCTGAAGAGAACAGTGCAGCGGGGGGTGTCCAGGGGATTTGATCCTTAATGCTCAGGGAAAAGGCAGGGCAGACATAGGTACTTTGAAAAAAAAATTAAGTCCAAACAAAGAAAATCTCGGAGTTTCCGGACAAGTCCAATAATCTATGGGTGCTAGAATTATGGTTAGGGTTCGAATCTTTGTCAGCCCCGACCGCCTCAGAGACGCTGACTAACCCTACCACTTACCCTAATTCTTGACCTAACTCTAACCCTAACACCCCTGCAATTTTGCCCGTTCCCGTGAACTCCTTTATTTGGGTCGCTGCAGCCCACAGCCGGTGTTCGAAACCGGGCGGTTCTCGGGGTTCACCCAGCCTCTAGGAGATGGGTACCAGAGTTGACACTCTGGGGTAAATGGAGGGACGTCGCTGTAGGTACGGAGTTACGTGCGGACGGCGACACAGGCGGACAGTTTCTTACCAACTGTCCGTACTAGTGGCAGAGCACTTATGGTTTATAACCGTGTGCAATGACGCTGGTTCACATCTCCCGACTTTACCTTTACCTTTCTTTATTTAGGGTGAATTAAAAATAAAGTTCTCCGACATAGTCTGACTGAGACTGGTAGTGTCTGAATGGGAACTCCGCACAGTCTGCTGAAGATAATAACGGTGCGCTTATGGGAATGTCCCGAGTGATATGATATCAGTCCTTAGCCCAACTAAACTCGCCCGTGTGTCACCGGGACCCTCACGGGAAGCAAAGAATAGTGACACTGCACCCTACCAGGCATGTCGTAAGAGGCGACTAAGGGTAGGGTTGGGCTTGAGGTTGGCTACCTCATCCTGTAAAAACCATAGCCACAAAAACCAACCAACTATGGATAAGTCAAAAAGAGAAGCAAATAAAATCCAGCCAACCAAGATGAGGGGAGGCTCTTCAAATAGAAGAAGTATGACACGGTGTGGAGAAAGCCGCAAGGAGTCCGGATCGTTGACTTACCTCCTCTCAGCTAGGAAAACCTCCAGAATTGGCACCTGGAATGTTAATAAAGGAAGGCCAAAAAACACATGGAGAAGAGAGCTGGAGAATGAAGTTAGAAAGATGGGGAGGACACGGGGAGAGCTCCATGCAATGGCGAAGGATAGAACGACTTGGCGTGAGTTGGTTGAGGGCCTATGCTCCATTGGGGGATAGAAAGGCAGAAGAAGAAGCCCAACTAAACTAGTTTGGGAATTTTAGTCAGGCTTGATCTGGGAATTCTAGGGAGGCCTAATTTGAGAATTCTAGGCAGGCTTGGTCTGGGAATTATTGGCAGGCCTAGTTTAAGAATTCTAGACAGGCCTAGTTTGTGAATTCTAGGCTGGCTTTTGTTTGCACTGTACACACAAACATACATAAGCACACATATATGCTTTGAAAAAAAAACCGATTATTAAAATTTTTTTTTTTTAATCTTGTCTTGTACATTTTATACTTGAGTTGGTTGTATAATGTATGCTTAGCGACTATAGACCTTTGAAATCAATTATTTGCGCACTGTAATTTATGTAGGTCATGTTTCGTGCTCCATGTAACAGATAGTTTAGAATATCACTGCTATATACCCATGTTTTAGTGGGTAATCTTAGATATAATGGTTTTGCCTATTTAGGAAAGAGCATTTCTCGTAAAACATGTGTTTCTGAACAGTAGGAGGTATTAGAATATTGTTGTCCAACAATTTATTTTATTTCCTTATGCTCGAGTGCCTTATCTTAATAATGTTAGCAATTTAATTATGACACTTCGCAGCACTTTTAGTGTTCATAATGTGCGCCCCCGTGGTAGACAATCTGTTTTTAAAGAAACATGCTTCAGCTTCAAGGAAAGTACACCAGCGAGTTCCTGGAAATAGGTAATTGCCAAATGAACGGTGAAGAATATTTCCAACACCCACTGTTTTTTTACATTGGCGTCTGCTGACGGTTTGTCCTGCCATGGTTTCGGCAGTGGTACCCGGAAGAGCCGACCGTCCAGAGAGCAATGGCAAACTACTCTACGTAAATTTGCCTAGAAAAACCACAACAGCCAATAAATGCTGGGGTTGGTTCTGCAACGTCCTGTAAAGAATACGCAACTAACTTAACTGTAAATAGAGCTGACATGTTGAAAGCAGTACTCAAAATAAGACACACTATAGTAGTATATGTTGCTTTAATTCCATAGACAGTGATTATGAAAATATTTTGAAGAAAAACAAAAGACAGTCATTAAACAAACACTCTGAAAAGCCCAGTTTCTTTTATACTGGCACACTGACAGGCAAAAGGTTGACGTCGAGATAATTGACTTCATTGCACCGGGTTTTTCCCAATATGGCCCTCGACCACTTCGCCACAGAGACTCCCAAACTGTCCCATACCAAGTATGTCCAAAACGGCAGCTGGTTAATTTTCAAGGTTCTGATTCTGCTGAGAAACAACCGAACCGGCTGCTTCGAGATACCAGTTAAGTGATTTTGTGTATCTGTGTAGTATTGTTTGATTTGTATGTGCGGATGAAAGCTCAATAGCCGCAACGTTCACGTTTTGTTTGTATTTGTTATTTTATGAAGCTTGCTATAATACTTTTCGTTCGGAGATGTCCTTACATCTCCCCAAAACACCTGGCTGAGGTAATGGTGGAAGAGAAGAAGAAGAAGAATGTTGTTTGTGTGTTACATCGTTTTGTTTACATAAGAGCTCTAAGAACTTCTTCAGCATTCAGAGCCCTTGAGGTTCAATGCTGCAGATATCACCCTTATACGCTAGCTGCATCTTTGATAAGTCCAAACATTCGCCATAAGACTATATACTCTAAGAAACCCCGACAACAAATTTGTTTCCCACAAGTTGGTGTTTTTAAGAACATCCGCTAGTGTCACGTTGTTGTCATTGTGTCTCCAACACCAACTAGTGTCACGTTGTTGTCATTGTGTCTCCAACACCAACTAGTGTCACGTTGTTGTCATTGTGTCTCCAACACCAGCTAGTGTCACGTTGTTGTCATTGTGTCTCCAACACCAACTAGTGTCACGTTGTTGTCATTGTGTCTCCAACACCAGCTAGTGTCACGTTGATGTCAATGTGTCTCCAACACCAACTATGACCACTTAGTACTGAAAACGTTAAAATGATATCCTGGAAGTTACATTGGAGACGTGGCGGCCATCATTGTGGCAGAGCGCATGCTCCGGGGTGAGCATGAAGAGGTACATGCACATCAGCAGAATATAAATAAACACCACAATTGATCCTGCAAAAGAAAAAGAAAAAAAACTACAATATACAGATATTGTGAAGCAAATAATAAATAATAATGTGATATAAACCCGTTTACTCCAAACCGTGGGCCGCATACGGCGGCAGGGCTGCAGACATTTCTGCCTAATCCAGTAATGAGGTATGGAAGGAAGAGTTTCTCTTTAAGGATTGTAGTCTGTACGAATAACACTTTATATATTACAATCGATTGTGTGGATTTGTATCATGGTATGGGGCGTCGCAGATCGACCCAACCTACAATGGGTACCAGGATATATGTTCTGGGGAAGTAAAGACGGTCGGCGTAATGTTGACCTCATTACCCACCCAGTGCTGATTGGTCTGTAAAAATATGGATGCTCTCCCCATGTGCCCGATGCACCTAAAGGCGTTGAAAGGGATCTATATGACAATCGGAGGTTGTCACATTGGCCGAAAATGCTGAGATATGATGATGTAATAAATAAACTGCTATCTGCATTCCCCCCCCCCCCCCCCACATGTTTGGCTAGCTGTTAGGGGGCCGGAAAACAATGCTGCCTGTTTTTGTGAGCCAAAGGTGTGAATAGGTTGAGGAACACTGATACAAACGACTAACAGAAGATCCCTTTGAGTATATTTTAAGAACACACTCACATACATACACACACACATACACACACATACAAATAGACACTCATCACACATAGACAAAGACACACATAAACATAGACACCCTTCACACGCACACACATAGACACACATATCCACATATACAAACACACATACACAAACGCATAGACACACACACACACAGACACACACGCACATTTACATAGACACAGACACATATAGACACGCCCACACACGATCGCACATAGCCGAGGGGTGATACATGGTGATGGTTAGCGTTCCCCTCTAGGACCGTTGTCCATAACACCTTAAGGATGAGAATCACACCTGATTAAATCCCATATATATATATATAGGGAGAGAGAGGGGGAGGGGGGAGAAGATGAGACATTAGATAAGAAAACACCCAAGAGTAGGACAAATATGTGACTAATGACATCAGAACGACAAATGAAGAATACTACACCAAAATCACAGTAGTGTCAACTTCGTGTTTCAAGAATTACCTGAAAAGTAATAATTTACTTTGACCTGACTGAAATAGGAATTCACCTATCTGCCTTTCGCGTGTTGTAAAGTGACAATTAAAAGCTCTGAAAATGCACTAAAGTGACAATCCTCAAAAACGCTTTTAGGTGATTTGGACGTATTGTCAGTGTGCTTAGGGAATGATGAATGAAAGAAGAGATATGAGGTGGTTAAGAGCCTTTGCTCTAGTGCGAAATCGATGACAGAAGATGATAGAAAATACAGAATATTGATACTGTCTTTGACCTGACAGTATTTTCCTTCTTCTTAGCGTTCACATGCTGTAAACTCTGGCAGAAAACTCTGGTCGTTCGTCCACTTTTAGAGCTTCGTCTTTGTCCATGACGTGAGTTTTCGTGAATGTTCATTACACAGATCAGGTTTATTTGTATGCAGGCTGTTGGTTCCTCGCCTCTCAGGGCTATGCCCTACGACTTTGGAAGAAAAGAGCCTTAACCCACTGACTACCAAGCCCATTAACCCTTGCATTTTCCCAGATACCACGTTAAAAATGCCACAGCTTCACAACTATTTGATATAACCTCACAATATTTTGTATTTTTGCACCAAATTGAACGAAGAACGAATATCAAGAAAAAAAAAGTTTTTTTATTCTTTTTTTGCATCATCATCATGTGGCTGTTAATTAGTCGCCTTGTATGACATACTTGTTAGGAAACAGTAGGTTACCCCCCACCCCGCTCCACACAAAAAAAAAAAAAAAACCGAGACAACGGGAGACCTAATAAGAAGCTAGCCCTACGATCTTACCTTGAAAGTAGTCACTCTTCCCGTCCTGAAAGATGTAGTTGATGATGACCACAGAGAAAATCACCGCCCACAGGTGGACATCATTGAATACCACGTAGAACCCCATTGGCTTAAGGAGAGAAAATCATGCCACAAATATAACCGATTACCGAATATGATAAAGAGATTGGGTAGTTCAGTGGCCGGAATGCCTGTCTGTTATGTAATGGTAAAAGTAAGGGTTTGTTTGTTTGTTTTAGTATCCAGAAGCCATGAGTTGTTAACCCTGGGGCTCGGTATTATGGATATAGCAACCTTTCGGCCTCGATTCCATTGTAAATACCGTAAATCTGGGAGAAAATGTGGCTTTCCTGCCTACCCCCGGGATTGAACCCGGACCACAAGGAGTACGTCACCGGGTCTCCGCGAAATCCGGTTTAGCCAACTACGCTAGAGAGCCGGGCTAAAAGTAAGGGTACATGTAATAGTAAACAGAATGGTGAAGGTACTAGGGAAAACAGTCAGGTGAGTAATGGGAAAGGTAATAAACAAGTAACGCTGAAGGTAATGCTGAAGTTATTGATGAATGTAGTGAGGAAGGTAATTGCAATAATGAAAGTAACTATAAAGATAATTGTAAAGTTAAGGTTTAGAAGCTGTCGAACTGAGATCATAGACCACACGTGAAAAAAAAAAAAAAAAAAAGATTAAAAAAAAAAAAGATATTTATAGGGCACATAAATGAAAGATATGGCGTGGAGAAATCAGAAGGCAAGAAAGGCACAGGATGACAGAGAAAAACGATTATTGAAAGCGTAATCACAGTAGTATGAAAATTCAGTTTTCATCGTCCCTAATGACAAAGAGGGAGTCGCCGTGGTATAACGGTAAGACGCTCGCGTGATAATCGGAAGGTCGTGGGTTCGCTCTTTGGCGGAGCCGCACTTTTCTCAAAAATCTCCTTGACTCTCAGGTCGACCCAGCCTTGAGTGGGTACCAGGTTTAGTCCTAGGAAGTAAAGGCGGCGGCGTTATGCTGACCACATCACCCATCTTGTGCCGATTAGTCAGTAAAAATATAGGTCTAGCCCTATATGCCCTATACGGCCTTTTCTTATGCCAAGGGACCTTTAATGATGCTAAACAAAACGACAAAGTACGCAGCATAATCGGAGTGGCGCTAGATTCTCGCCTGCCAATCTGAAGGTCGTGGGTTCAAGTCCTGACGGAGCCGGACATGTTTTTCAAAAACGACTTTGGCTCCCAGTCGACCCAGCCTTAAATAGGTACCAGGTAACGTCCTGGGATGTATAGAAAATTACACTGTAAGTATTCTTCTCTTTTCTTTTGGACCCTAATAACACAGGGTCAAGGGGCCAGGATAGAAAGAGGTAATATATGAAAATAGTCAAGAAGAAACAATGAAAACATTCGGATCTGAAAGGGTGAGAAATGTAAATTGCACACAATAGGAAAGAAAAAATGACTCAGCAGAACAACAACAAAATGATGATGAATGGAAAAACGAGTAGAACTGAGAATAGAAAGTAACAAAATAAATACATTTCGACAAAAATTTAACTCACATAGATGAGATTAACTAGCACCAGTAGGGGAATCTGCACCAAACAAACTTGGATTGCTGTGGAACATCCTATTTCGATCCTAAAAAATAAATATAATATATATGAAACAATTATATTTTTGTCACTATCCGTAAAATAAATGCAGTACATAATCATAAAAAAATAGTATACATCTGAAACAATGACATTACTATCTGAATCTTTGGAAAAAAAAACTCAATAACCTCGGGAAAAAATGTTATTTACCTCAATCATAGAAATAAGTGTAATACATAGAAAATATCAGATTATATCACAATTCTTGAAATAACAAATAAATGTTTCCCAATCCTAGAATCCTAGAAAAAGTAACTGTAATCAGTGTGAATCTTAGAAATAAGTATACAGCTAAAAGAATTACACTCTATTTCAATTGTAGGGGGGAAAAAATAAGACATCGGAAACTCTTCTACAATTACAGTTCCACAAATAACCCTCTGTGGGTTCCGGGGCCCTATTATAGGGAAAACAAGAATAGACCCACTGCCTTCCCAAAAGCATGTCGTAGGAGTCGACTAATTAGGAGCTTCCTTCGAAGTCAGAGTGCATCTGTCTGAGAGGCAAGGAACCAACAGTCTGCACACAAATGTGTCAGATATGTCATACGGATGCACACGCAACACTCAGGTTCTGGAACAGGATTGCAGTCCAGAAGTGGACGAACAACCAGAACTTTTCACCAGAGTTTACAGCTGGTGAACGCAGAGAAGAAGACGAAGAAGTTCCAGAAATAAGTATGGATTTTATACTTCATAATAAAAAGAATCCCCGCCACAGCTACGGAGTGCGTGCTTTGTGCTTGATACCATATTCAGGTGACAACGAAGAGAGTTTGAAGAGGAGAAGACGGAGAAATGGAGAGAGAGAGAGAGAGAGAGAGAGAGAGAGAGAGAGAGAGAGAGAGAGAGAGAGAGAGAGAGAGAGAGAAAAGGCACAGAAATATGAGAGCGGTCTTAGGAGAATGACGCTGCGGGGAGTTGCCGGGGGATCAGGCCGAAGCTCTACACGTAAGGGAAAGACGAGACAGATGTACTTTTGGACAGTCACTAGTCGGATCGGAATTGGAACTCTTCGCTTGCTGCTAACGATGGGGATGGAGTGCTTATGGGAGTGCCCTAGTGCTATGATTTTGATTCTTAATTCAACATCCTAAAAAAAAAAAAAAAGCGTTAACTTTCAGTTGTGCCCCAAATGGTGCAGGATAAAAGCACCATTTGCCGTGGCGGATTCAAATCTTTAAAAATAAACAAACAAAAAAAGCATACCCCTTACGAGGTTTTTAAAAAACAGGATATATCATGCGAAGGTAGCATTTAAACAAAATTAGGCAACATGTCTCTTATTAAATCATAATAAAAAGAGAGCACTCCTCCGAATAACGGCGCCAATTTATTTATCTAGGTTAAAACCCCACCCTTACAGGGCCTCAGTAGGTCATCTAATACAACTACAAAGAAGGAAGCAAAATTTAAGCATAAGGAAATGTACATTGTTACCAATAAAAGGTAGCAGTTATATCTTGAAATTGTGGCACACAAGTTGTAAATACTGTTCGAAAATTAAGTCTTTGTGACTTTACAGCCACTGAAACTCCGCTAATTGTGTAGTGAACAAAGCGCGACTTATCCTGCCTTGATAACGTTGCTTCCGTTGAGTTGCATCCATAATCCGTCAATTATTTGGATGTGAATTTCACTGTGTACGATGTAAACAAAATTAGTAGCACGAACTACACCCACATGATCATAGATGACAAGCTTTAGTTGACCGACGTTGCTGTGTCGGAGCTTTTGGTCTGCTTGCCATAATTGCCGGAAATAAATCGATCCTAATTAATTGTACATATCACTGAGGCCCTGTAAGAGTAGTTTTCTTTTGTTTTGTTTTGTTTTAACCTAGATAATGTAGGCTTGCTATTCGGAGGAGTGTCAAAGAGTACTTATCTTATGATGTTATCCCCTAAATCAATGTTTTGTTGAACCAGTATAACTGTTAACACATAGAATGTGAATGAACAGATTAATAAGAACATGCTGTGGATACCGTGGACAGACACAGCGTCAAACAACGACTTCTTGAAATTGGCTGATGAAATAAGAAAACTATATACAACTATATAAGAAAGAGAGAGTTCAGTGTTCTTCGGTCATGTAACTAAAAGAGAGGCACCAGAGAACATCGTGATGGCTAGATAGATCAATGGTACAAGAAAAGGCAGGTGAAGAGACACCATGTCTGACCGCCTGAAGCGATGGCATAGTGAAATATCATCAGTGGAATTAACAAAAACACAAAGACCCGACATCTGAGAAGAGACATGAGCGCCTGTGCCGCCTGGCAAGCATATGATGGTGATGATGACAATAGTTTACTTTTGTGTGTATGTTAGAGTGTCTGTGAGTGAGGCAACAATTACTCTCATCAACATCATCATGTGCCCTGCAAACTGGCGTAGGCGCTCATGAGTCTCCACAAATCACGAATCCTGGTTGCCTGGAACAGCTCTCTTGATGATATCCCTCTATACTATCGTTTCAGCCCATGCAGCATCATCTCGCTTGGTCTGCCCCTACCCCCTTTTCATCTGATCTTTCCAGTTGTCACGATGTTCTCCAATGTCTCTTTTCTCATTATGTAGCCACAGAACAGTGTCTTTTTCTTTCTTATTGTGCCATTACTGTATCAACTCAAAAAGTTGCTAAAGACGAAGGCCATATCTCCAAGCTAGATACGAGTAATTGTGGAAATCTAGAGGGTAAAACTACATTATAAATGCAAGAAACATCACATCAACACAGAAACCTTACCCCAAGTTGACATTATTCTGTAAAGCAAACTGAACACCGTTGACAACTTCAGGCAACTCTGACACCAAAGAGAGCATGGTGACTCCAATGAAGTACTGTAGATGAGCAATGAAAAATAGTGTGAACTTTCCTGCACTGTTGCATCAATTCACATTAACTTCATCATAAAAACAATGCAGAACTAGTCACATTTTAAATACCACAATCACCAACGACAAAGTAAACGTTGAGGTTATAAACCCCTCATCAGTCTACGACACAAATGGGAAACAACAAAATCACACCTGTCACAGCAGTCAATACTAAGCACCTCAATATGTCTTCGTGTTTTAAGGAGTCACTACGCCACCAATTTTTTTTTTTATTATTTACAGAGTTAGAGCAATTATTTTATAATGGTCATTTGAAGGGATACATGTTATTACAGTGTGAAAAATTAAGGTTGTCATGGCAATAGCCACCATCTTTGGGGGAAAACAACATGTACTTAGAATCCCTAACTTTCAAAAACAAACATACGTATTAAACAACAGATAATGGATTCATGACCTTTTATCCTACTTAGAGGTATAGGTTTTGTTTATTTACATTAAAAATGTTTTTAAATATTTATTGTAGAATTTTAAAAGTAGGTTTATTGAAAAATTTAAAAAAAAATCTTGCACCATAAGACACTCTTAGAATAATTGTTGAAGATTCTACAGAATTCCAGTCGAAATTATTGATCAACTTTGTCGACTTTCAAAAAGCCTTCGACAGTATCCATCGTCCAACACTCTGGAAATTGCTTAACATCTATGGTTTCCCCATCAAATATATCAACATCATAAAATCTTTTTATAATGAAACACGATGCTGTGTAAGAACTGATTCCGGCAATTCTGACTGGTTCCCGGTGGAAACAGGAGTGAAGCAAGGCTGTGTCCTATCGCCGATGCTTTTTGGTATAGCAATCGACTGGGTCATGCGCAAGTGCATAAATAACGCAAATTTAGGCATTACATGGGTTGACAAAATTCTGGAAGACCTAGACTTCGCCAACGACATAGCACTCCTGAGTTCAGAACACACAGACGCCCAAGAAAAAATCAATCGACTCCAGAATTTCTCAGAACAAATTGGACTCCAAATTAACACCGCAAAAACAAAAATTCTAGACCTTACCAACAGTTCAGTTGATATCACGCTGAACAACAACAGCCTTGAAAAAGTCAACAGTTTCACTTATCTAGGGAGCAAGATGTCATCTACAGTAGATACCGCACCAGAAATATCATTCAGAATAGCACTGGCATCTAGTGCCTTCAATAAACTGTCTAACATCTGGAAATCAAAGACACTTAGCAAACACACAAAACTCAAGATCTTCAATTCTTGTGTGATTCCAGTACTAACCTATGGATGCGAGAGCTGGAAATCAACGAAAACTCTAGACACAAAATTAGACAGTTTTGAAAATAAATGCCTTAGAAGAATACTAAATTTCAAATGGTCAGATTTCCGAACCAATACACAAATAAGGCAAGAATCCAGGCAAGAGTATGTGTCTAATTTTATACGAAAACGCCGCTGGAACTATGTCGGCCACGCCCTTAGAATGGATAAATCAAGACTTCCTTACCAAGCCCTCATTTGGACACCACAGGGGAAAAGATCTCGTGGAAAACCAAGGGAAACCCTACGTAGAACTATCATCAGGGAAGGCTCGCTCATGGGCCACTCAAACATCCAAGACCTACAACGGATTGCAACGAACCGCCGTGCATGGAGAGTCATGACCTCTGCCCTATGTGCCGCACTCGACACAAGAGGAAAGACTAACTAACATAAGACAATAATCAAATTTAAAAAAAAAAAAAAAAAAAAACTTTTAAAAATCTACTTTTGAAAAAACCAGTCCTTAAAACATTGTTCAAGGAGTATTCATACTCAATTTCATGTTTCTAGTCTTTTTATTAACTGAGATTTTAGGATTTCACGCACACAACAAACAAATATGGAGATGTCAAAAAACAGACTTAAATTTTTGTTATCTTAAAAAAGTGCATGGGTTGGTGCCTTTAGTATTAACTTTTCAAAGCTAAATTGTTTACCAATGACACACATTTTGTGTGAAATCTGTTCTACGAATGCCGAACTTTAAAAAAAAACGAACACATTGAAAAAGTAATACTTGTGTCATAAATTAGAAAAAGTGCCGTAAACATGATATAGGTTTCTTAACTCTTGTTGTTCAATTTTGTTGCTACACTGATCGACTCGATGCTAGGTATTATTTCAATAGCGTTAGTTTCACACAGACTAGGCGTGTAACCTTTCACACAGTTCATTGAAGAACAGATGAGAGGGTCTGACCGTCTGAGGAAAACTGTACCAATTACAGAGTCATGCTGCAGAAGTGTCAGCAGCATACATTGTAGACAAAAAAAAACATATATTTACAGTAATAATAATAATAATTATTATTATTATCGTTTTTATTATTTATTGACATCATGAGAGCTAATAGGTTGAAATGGCTGGAGATAATGTCCGATGACAGAGAGGTAAAAACTGTATTAACAAGGAAGATGACTGGTCGTAGACCACGAGGCAGACCAAGAAGAGAATGGAAAGATTATGTCTAGACAGACCTGTAAACACCTGTTGTTACCAACTGGAAAGAGAAGGCCAACCAGAGAGATGAGCTGAGGCGGGTGATATTTGCAGCAATGAACCTCAGAAGCTCGGAATGCGAAAGAAGAGGAAATTATTATACAATTTATTTAGTTTTGTAGGTTGGGGGGAGGGGGGGAGGGGGGGGGAGAGATAAGGAGAATGAACCCAAGCATGTAGCATGTAGTAAAAGAGATCTAGTTATGGGCGTCGCCTTCACATTCAAAGTGCTTCTACCTGACAGGCAAAGAACAAATAGTCTGCATACCAATAAGCCAGATCTGTTAAACGGATGTGAACGCAAAACTAAGATTCTGGAACAAGACTAAAGTCTTGTGGGCGAACAACCACAATTTTACGCTGGAGTTTACAGTCGGTGAAAACGAAGAAGAAGTTATACTGTGCTTAAAATCTTCTTGTTTGATAGGGGGCTTTTGGAAATATCTCAGTACAGTTTAAGTGATCATTTTACAAAATCAAAAGTAAATGAAACCAATTAGGCAATACCGGCAGTTACCTCTGAAATGCCAGTTTTTTCAAGCAGGGGTTGAATGTTTTCAGAGATAAGGTCAGCACAAAGTGCGATGGCCACGGCACACAGGAGAAGGATGATGGTGCTCTTGATCCTTGACCACTGGGCAGTACCGTGGTGTCCTATTCAAGTGGAACAGAAGGAAAAAAACAGCTGAAATTCATACTGTGATCTTCATCATTATGAACTACTTCTGTTGTTAAGCGTTGTGAGGAGTAATAATTTTCTATCCACAGCACTCTGGTTGACTCTGGCTATTGTCATGCTGAGAAAGCGTATAGTATCTTTAATGTTGTCGATCCATCCTTTCGTGGCCGTGCTCTTGTAGCTGATCTTCTACGACGTAGTGCCTATGATGGTATCTAATGTTTCTGCATTCTAACGAGGTGACCAAACCACTTGGTCTGTTGTTTTTCGATGGATCTAGTACAAGGAGTCGTTCCCACAATCTGCCCTAATACAACTGTTATTCACATGTTTTCGTATGCTTAGAGTGACCGCCTTTCTCGGGTATCTCATCTCGCAACTGGCGATTTTGCGTAAAAGGACTTTCGATGATGTTAGTGTGAATCAATGGTAGACTGATGGTGGTACGAAAATGCTGTTTATAATCTGGGTTTTTTAAACACTCTTAGATATGTTTGGATGTCCTAATAATGGTGTGATGTGTATAATTTAAAAAACAAAATACTAATAATTAAAAGGGAATTATGATTTTAGTGATAATAGGAATGATGGTGGTGGTGGTGGTGGTGGTGGTGATGGTGGGTGTGGTGGTGGTGGTGATGGTGGTGGTGGTGGTGGTGGTGGTGATGGTGGTGATGGTGGTGGTGGTGACTGTTGAAGAAGAAAGTGAGAAAACTGATTAAAGATACTAGACGTAGACGGTCAGTGTTTAAGGACATGCTATGAGAAGATGAGAAGACGAGAACATGAGAAGACGAGAAAGTGAGAAGATGTGAACATGAAAAGACGAGAAGATGGGAACACGAGAAGATGAGAACATGAGAAGACGAGAAAGTGAGAAGATGAGAACATGAGAAGACGAGAACATGAGAAGACGAGAAAGTGAGAAGATGAGAACATGAGTACATGAGAAGGTGAGAACATAAGAAGACGAGAAAGTGAGAAGATGAGAACATGAGAAGATGAGAACATGAGAAGAAGAGAAAGTGAGAAGATGAGAACATGAGAAGACGAGAACATGAGAAGACGAGAAAGTGAGAAGATGAGTACATGAGAAGGCGAGAACATAAGAAGACGAGAAAGTGAGAAGATGAGAACATGAGAAGATGAGAACATGAGAAGACGAGAAAGTGAGAAGATGAGAATATGAGAAGACGAGAAAGTGAGAAGATGAGAACATGAGAAGACGAGAAAGTGAGAAGATGAGAACATGAGAAGACGAGAAAGTGAGAAAATGAGAACATGAGAAGACGAGAACATGAGAAGACGAGAAATTTGGAAAATGAGAACATGAGTACATGAGAAGGCGAGAACATAAGAAGACGAGAAAGTGAGAAGATGCGAACATGAGAAGACGAGAAGATGGGAACACGAGAACATGAGAAGACGTGAAAGTTAGAAGATAAGAACATAAGAACATGAGAAGGCGAGAACATAAGAAGACGAGAACCTGAGAACACGGAGAACCCGAGAACATTTTCGTAATGCCGCAGTGCCGGGATCGATCCCAGCTGCGGACGATTTGTCTTGCGTTGGTTTCAACAGTGGTACCGACAGCTGACCGTTCAGTGGGCAAAGGAAAACTCAATCAACCAATCCTCATCGCGCCCAGAGGCACATAAAGACAGAGACAAACTGTCGCCACTCAATTCAATTCTGAGCCATCCTCTCTATCTCCAGTTTTGTCCATGGCGTAGTTCAGCTTCAAAAAGTGGCTTCCAAGTGCCGCTGGCCCTGTCTATTTCTCGCTGTCCTTGTGTTGTTCATTGCATTGCCTGTCTCCGCCGTCTCTCTTTCTTCATTCCGAGGACATGTCCAATCCACCAACATCTTTTTGTTTTGTTTTTTGTATTTCTAAATTTACATGGCAAACTACTGAACGTAAACTTTGCCTAGAAAAACCACAATAGTCAAAATGGGGGTTGATTATGCAACGTCCTGCCAAGGGACGCAACATGTTGTCGGCGTCAGCATTTGAGTTATCTCGCTTCTAAATGGACATTTTTCGAGATCTACATGTTGTCTGTGTCGACCGATCGGCCAGTTTGTCCCTTCCGGGATGCTACCTGAAGATTTAATATAAGATCATGTGATTTAGAATGTCTCATTCTGGACGGCAGACCACCAAGGTAGATCACAGATACCCCGTTCAATCTTCCAACAAGTTGTAATTAGGGCAACTGTAACGGCGACACGAGCCAGGTGTAACCCGTAGTCCTGTGTGGGTAAGAACGAGCATAAAATATCGTAAACAATAAGATGGCTGACGAGATATTGTTTAAGGTCCCCAGCTCCTCCACGGCAGGCAGCGGATCACCCTAGGGTAACAATGGCGACAGTCACCCTACCAATCACTGCCAGGAAGGAAAGCAATAACAAACTACCCTTTTCAAGATGCCATCAATTGATAATGATTTCACATCTGAGAGCAAGTAGAAGGCAAACAGATAAATATCTGGATGACTTAGTTGTGGTGTAGTGACTAGACTCTCGCCCGAGGATCCAAAGGTTCAGAGTTCAGGTTCTTACAAAGACAGACTTTAAAAAATATGACCTCGGCTCTCACGTTGACCCAGTCTTAAATAGGTACCAACTAAAGTCTCGGGAAGTCTGTCTGTCTGTCTGTCTGTCTGTCTGTCTGTCTGTCTGTCTGTCTGTCTGTCTGTCTGTCTGTCTGTCTGTCTGCCTGTCTGTCTGTCTGTCTGTCTGTCTGTCTGTCTGTCTGTCTGTCTGTCTGTCTGTCGGTCGGTCGGTCGGCCTGCCTGCCTGCCTGCCTGCCTGCGTGCGTGCGTGTATGCGTGCGTGTGTGTGTATGTGTGTGTATGTATGTATAGTATATACATATCATAATGAAACAACAGGACAGTCCCTACCATTAGCAGCGTTCTCTTCCTTTAGCTGTAGCTCAAACTCCTCAAACACATGTGCTGAATGTGTCTTCATTGTGAACACCAGCCCAATGAGATACGCGATTGGTAGGATCAGCGAGATGGCGTAGACAAGGGGCTCGATGTGTTTTGTGTACAGGGTTCTGTCTCCGTGTAGACCTTGCTGGCAGCCAATAGGTGAAACACAAATTACGTTAGTCACAATCTGATGGTACATAAGCATATCTTAGGATTCGACTAATCCGAGGCATCTTTCAAAGTTAGAGTACATCTGCTTGAGAGGCAAGCAGCCAAGAGCCTCCATAGACGTAAACCAGATGTGTGAAACAAGACTAAAGTCTGCAGTTGAACGAACACAAAGAACTTTCCGCAGGAGCTTACAGACTTCGAGTGCGAAGAAAAAGAAAAGAAGTATATGCAAAGTATATCGTTGTCCCATTTGAGGAGGGGCGGGTGGGGGGGGGGAGGGGGAGGAGCCACACACACACACAATATCAGCCACAGCACAATCTTGAAGCTCGCAAACGGAAAGTAATTGCATAAGGCAGCCGTCAAATGTACCAAAACTAGCAGTATCCTGCCATAATTGCAGCTCACAGTTGATGGAAAAGCATCCATCGATCTATTCACCCTTCCACCCATCCCTCTTTCTATACTTCCATTCATCAATCTATCCTTCTGCTGCCAGAATTGCAGTTCACAGCTGATGGAAATGCATCCATCTATCTATCTACTCTTCCATCATCCTTTTTTTTATTTTATTTTTCCACTCATCAATCTATACTCTTGCTGCTAGAATTGCAGCTCACAGTTGACAGAAATGCAACCATCGATCTATCCACCTTTCCATCCATTCTTCTTTCTATATTTCCACTAATCAATCTATACTCTTGCTGCCAGAATTGCAGCTCACAGTTTATGCCAGCAGTCACCGAATGCCAGCATGTGCACATGCACTACTGCAGAGTACACACTTAATTCCAAACGTGACAGGCCACCTGCCATTGTTAGTGAAGTTCACAACACAAAAGTACCGCTACAATAAAATAAAATTACAATAAAATAAAATAAAAAACACATTCCACATAAAACCCATAGCTCATAGTGTCGCATCAAGCACACAGGGCAGTAACTTGGCGATGGACCATTTAGATTTCTGATTTTAAGTGGAGAAGTAGCAGCAGCAAGATGCGGGGAAGGGGTAAATTAAAAAATACGCAAAGCTTTCGGGATTCGCATCCTATCCGCTGTATTGGACCGGAACGAAATATAGGAAATTAAAAAAAATAATGGGCCCTATTTTACACGCAATTGGTGCATAAGAAACAGTGTGCTAGAATCATATTTTAAGTCAACGACACAGCTCTATAGGTGGGCTTGTATATTGTATAAATGTAGCAGGTTACCAACAACACAGCTCTATAGGTGAATTTGTAGATTGTATAGAGGTAGCAGACTACCAACAACACAGCTCTATAGGTTGACTTGTATATTGTATAAATGTAGCAGGCTACCAACAACACAGCTCTATAGGCGAACTTGTATATTGTATAAATGTAGCAGGCTACCAACAACACAGCGCTATAGGTGGACTTGTATATTGTATAAATGTAGCAGGCTACCAACAACACAGCTCTGTAGGTAAACTTGTATATTGTATAAATGTAGCAGGCTACCAACAACACAGCTCTGTAGGTAAACTTGTATATTGTATAAATGTAGCAGGCTACCAACAACACAGCTCTGTAGGTAAACTTGTATATTGTATAAATGTAGCAGGCTACCAACAACACAGCTCTATATGATTGGCACCTTTACGTCTTTCCAGACGATAGTGTTATACTGCACTATGAGGAGGCATGAGACTCACAGCCCATGGCGATGGCGAGTGTGACTAGCAAGACCCGCCTGTGTCAAGTAAAGTCTTCCACAATGATAGTATGGGATATCAGCACCATTGTTGTCAACATTTGTGTTTATTCCGTTTCTTATCAGACGCTCAGCTCTCATCATTTCTGCAATCTTTTTTTCCTTCACTCTCATTCCCTTCCTGATTTGCCCTTTCCACACAAGACGGTCCATCGCATTTTGTTCTCTTGAGTCCACCTCAATACCTGTATCATTCATGTCCAGCTTTCTTAAATTTGTTTACAGACAATAATTAAAACTTAAAGATACTTTATGCTTTCACAGCACGACAATAGCCAGAGCCAGCTTGCATGCACCCGATCGCAAATTATAATTAATCTCCGCAACGTTTAACGGCAGATGTTGTTAATGCTGATGAGGACAATGATTGTTGTAAATGTATTACAGTACTCACCAACGACTGCTCACACTGTTGACACAGGAACCCAACCGAATTGTTGATGGTGGCCGGAATGGAAGAACCAGGCTCATGTACTGTAAACTCTTTATAAATTCGCTCACAGCCTTGACACTTTAAACTGCCGAATATTTTTGAGAATACTGTAGGGGCAAATACACCTGTAAAAAATTAGTGCACGTGATTATCACAGACTGAATGTTAGAAGGGGGAAAGGAGGGAAAGACACAGACAGGAAGGTGTTACGCAGTTTGGTATCATGGGTGGAAGACCATCTGTATGTGAAATTATTAATGGGACACAAGGAAGAAGGCTGCAGACAGATGACTTGCTAAACTGGAGGCGCTGGAGAACACGGTTATGGATGGAAAGATCAAGGAGAGGCAGAGGAAGACCAAGACAGACTATGACTGACGGTCTGAAGCGATGGTGCAGTGAAATATGATCTTTGGAAATGTTTCAAAATACAAAGACGCGAGATCTTTCGAGAGACATGAGCGCCCACGCCGCTGGGCAGGGTAAATGGTTATACTGACGACGATGATACAGGTGGAAGAGGAGGAGCAGGAGGAGGAGGAGGAGAAATATAAGAAGAAGAAGAAGAAGAAGAAAACGAAGAAGAAGAAGAAGAAGAAGAAGAAGAAGAAGAAGAAGAAGAAGAAGAAGAAGAAGAAGAAGAAGAAGAAGAAGAATACCAACAACAACAGCAGCAGCAACAACAACAACAACAACAAGAAAATAGAACCAGTTGTTAAAGTAACACGGAAATGTTAGACAATAATATAAAATATATCAATGTTAAAAGTATATTAGGAGAATGATGGGAAAAAACAGAGGGGAAAAAGGGAAGAAGGAAAAGGGGGGGGGGGGGGCGGGCAGAATTATTACTTGTAAAATTGAACTCACCAACAATGGCCACAAATAACAGGGATGCACTGATGTTGGCCGATTTCGGGTTGAATTTTTGTGTTCTAAATTTTAATCCGCCAATCACCATAGACACACCCTGAAATACACGAAAATTCACAGCTTGAATTCTCACCAAGTGTAAGTCTAGGCATCATCAGAGGTGTGTGTGTGTGTGTGTGTGTGTGTGTGTGAGAGAGCGAGCGTGCGCGTATGTGTGTGTGTGAGTGAATGTGCACGCATTAGTGGGCTACCGTATGCATGTATACATTTATTGGATAAGCAGATTTTGTGTGATTTTTCTCTGTATTTAGGTAGTTAGTTAGTTGTATCCCGCCAGGACATCACACAAGCGACAAACTCCCGGCGACACAAAGTGCCACTATGCGGATGAGGATCACCCGTGGAGAGGTCCCAGAAACCAGTTTAAGCCGTCAGGCCAAATTAATGGCTATGCCATTTTTATGGCCTGGCTATATTCAAGCCCCCGGCAGAAGCCAGGGAGGGGCTTCGAGTAGCAACAATTGTTATCCAACATGGGGACGTTTATAATTTTTATCCGTATTTAGTCTTCTGTAAAAGCAAAATAGACATATATCATGCAATGAATTAAAAAAAATTAAAATAAACAAAACAAATAATAATAATAATAATAATAATAATAATAATAATTAATATAAGACAGGATTTAGTACTTACGGGAATAAATAGAATACTGCACAGAATTGCACCTGAAAAAGGCAAATTAAATTAATTTTAATAAGTTTACTAAATACCACCATATATTCGAAACGGCATTGAACGAAGGGGAAAAAAGGTAACAATATAAGAGGAAATCATAGCTAAATACAAAGGAATAGAAAGTTCAGTTTCACAACCAAATTTTCCCGTGTGCGTGCCATTGAAGGGAAAACAAGAATAGACCCACTGCCTCCCAACGCGCATGTCGTAAGACTCGACTAATTAGGGCTCCCTTCGAAATCAGAATGCATCTGCCTAAGAGACAAGGAACCAACAAGCTGCATTCAGTTAAGTCATATGAGTTAAATGAGTGTGCACGTAACACTCAGATTCTAAAACAAGAAACAAGTCCAGAGGTGGACAAACAGCCAGAACTTTCCACAGGAACTGACAGCCGGTGAATGCTAAGCAGAAGTAGATAACCAGATTGGAATCACTGCTGCCTGTTGGCAAATGATCTTTAAATTGCCAATTGAACATTTTTTTTTTTTTTTTTTGAATTTCCAGTTGTCGTTGTATTTAATAGTCTTTACTTATAACTTTTATATTGGGGTTGAACAGGCAGTGTGCGATATGTTCTTATTCATCATCATTATCATCATCCTTTGTGTGCCGCTAGACGTCACATAAAGCTCGCTTTGGATTCCCCCGCTCTGCTGCATGCATGCAACTCTCTTGATTTCTGACATAGAGTTCAGCCCTTATTTTCAGCTTCTAATAAATAAAGGTAAAGGTAAAGTCGGGAGATGTGAACCAGCGTCATTGCACACGGTTATAAACCATAAGTGCTCTGCCACCAGTACGGACAGCTGATAAGAAACTGCCCGCCTGTGTTGCCGTTCGCACATAACTCTGTAGCAACAGCGACGTTCCTCCATTTACCCCAAAGTGTCACTCCGGTACGCATTTTCTAAAGGCTGGGTGAACCCCGTGAACCGCCCGGTTTTGAACACCGACCGTGGCTGCAGCGATTCGCAGCTGGATTTGAAAGCGAGCTTCTTATCGACTAGGCTAACGCGGCTTCCTTCTTCTAATAAATAATGTTCTTTTAAATGTTTCCCTTGGACGCCATCTTTTTCTCAAACCGCTTGTTTTCTAGTTTTGAGTGTTCCTTCTGGCTTGACGTCCTAACGAAGGCTGATTTTTTTTCCATAAATAACCTTGGCTCACTGGTCGACAAAGCCTTGAGTGGGTACCTGGTTCAGTCATGGGAAGTAAAGACAGTCGGCGTGATGCTGACCACATCACCCACTAGGTGCCAACTTGTCTATAAAATTTAGATCTAGCCCTTTATGATCAATACGTTTGCAGACGTGGAAAAGTCCGATACTTTATTTACTTTTTGTTGGTTTGAGATTAGTAATATAGCTCATTGGGTCATTGTGGTTAAGCTGATTTCAGTAAGCACGGAAGGACCACACACCAAACAATTTTTTTTAAATTGATGTATTCAAGCAAGAAAAGGGAAAACATTCTACAATAACCGAAGGGACACACAAAAGAAAAGAAGTGGACACAAGAACGCCAAACTGACCAGTAAGCGAGGATTTAACCAGCTCCTGGTAACACTCCTGGCCACTGTCTCTGCCCTTCTTCAGCATGATAATGAACAGAATTACTTCCACCATGGAGCCAAATGTAGCGTTCAATATGGCGCCCACTGCAAAGCTGCTTTGTGCAGAAATGCTGAACAAGAAATGTTACTTTTGTTTGAAAAAAAATAAAAATAAAGAAGGAACTCTTTGTGTGTGTGTGTGTGTGTGTGTGTGTGTGTGTGTGTGTGTGTGTGTGTGTGTGTGTGTGTGTGTGTGTGTGTGTGTGTGTCTATTTTTAAATTTGTCTTTTATTCTGTAAATTTTTATGTCAAAATAAGACAAAATTACCAGAAATACACACAATATATTGCAATTTATGACTGTCTAAAATGACTTTGGTCCCTGATCAACACAGCCTAAAGAGGGGCGTTACGTTATATCATGGAAGTAAAGGAGACCGGTATGATGTTGATCACGTTATCCCCTGAGAACTGATTAGTGTACGTCATATTTCCGATATGCCTCTGTTGTGAGAAGGGACATGATGGAACACAAAACTGTTGATTCTCTTAGCCTCTCTTGTTCAAGTCTACCTCACCTTCGCGAGGTGGACCCTGTCCTGTCCGGTAATCAAGTGGAAGGGTGGGGTTTCAACCCCCAGCGGGAAACTGGATGGAATAACTAAATGTGAAATCTAACTCCGCCAGCTAGCTACTGAGCTGAGTGCATGGTGTCGGTCTGTGAGTGGTGAATGCAATTAGGAATCAAAAGTGTGTTTTTCCGTTGAAATGTGTAAATAAGCTGCATATTCATTAACAAGATAAAAAAAAAATTGGTTGAAACGGCACTGGCGGCATGCCTTATACACTGATGTCTGTAAAGCTGCTGGTTTGTCGTGGCTGCTGCTTCCATAAATTATGAATATTAATTGTCACAGACAACGTGCTGGTACCTCTGGCGGGTGCCTTATACATTTGATGCTTGCCAGCTGTTGCATTTTGCCAGAACTGATGAGTGACTTTTCACACGAGACAGCGCCAGACACGTTGTGTGTGTTTGTTGTTTTTTTTTTTCCTCGACTGCGGTGACCCGTTTGCTATGAAGTTGGAAACCGACCGACATCCTGATAGAGTTCGTTAATTTTACTTACCTTCGTAGTGAAAAACAAAAATGCTTACAGCTCAAATTTTTTTGCCAGATACTTATTTACTTTCCCACTCTTGTAGTTTTAAAACAAGGTTTCATGATGTAATAAGTAAAGAATCATGTTACACCAATGACACGTTGAGAGTGTGATCTCAGACTCATTTTTTTAATCGTTTCAGGAGCAACTCTTTTTCTTCTTTTTAGCGTTCACTGACTATTAACTCTGGCAGAAAGTCCTTATGTTTGTCCACTTCTTGTCGTTGATCTCGTTTCAGAACCTGAGTTATGCATTCACATCAGTTTTAGAGAGCTGGTTGGTTTGTATGCAGACTATTGGTTCCTCGCATCTCAGGCAGATGCATTCCGACTTCAGATTAGTCTCTTTCTGCAACATGCTTGTTGGGAGGACACGACTGCCCCCCCCCCCTCCCCCAACCAATTCCAATCGACAGTCCCTGGCTTATGCGGTCACAACCATGTCGGTGACCTTTATTTCCATGGATATTTCCTCAGCGCAGATAATAAATACCCTCCGCCTGGTGCGGATTTGAAACCACGACCTTCGAGCAGGTAGAGAAGTGCCTAGCCATTGTGTTACTTTCAAGGGGGTGTTCCGCAATGCCGTTGACATCGCGCTTTTAACACTGCAAAACATTTAGAAACTGGGTCTAACACACATTCCCCACTACTGCAATTATCAAAAAGGCTAATGGGGAACTCCTTTTTTTTCTTCTCTTTGTAAGACAAAAAAACTTAGTGAAGTAGATAAACAAACCACTTACCTGGTTATGGCCATCCCGATATAGTACGTGAGAGGAATGATCGCCAACACGCTCAAAATACATTTCTGAAACAAAACAAAAAACAAAAAACAATTATTAATACATACCAAAATCTGTGCTAATCGGGCAAGTGCAGTGATGCACAAAACTATTGCTCAGACGTCTACAAACGTGTGTTGTTGTTGTTGTTGTTGTTGTTGTTGTTGTTTGTTGTTGTTGTTATCGATTCAGCGGCGCAATAGCTTTCGCCTTTTGGCCCAATGCCATGTAGTGGAATTTTCATAAGCTGTTCTTTTACTCCGTATAATGCGTTCCACTTGTCTGTTCTCGAATGGAGTAACATTCTTCCAGTCTCGCTGAGTTTTGGACACTCAAAGAATGATGGCCAACAGTTTCGTAGAAGTAGTTACATTGCTGGGAAGTGTTGTGGCTGTATTCCATTTAGATGCACATTAAGTTTAATATGTTGTGTTCTGGTGGCCTGGTCTCTCCTTATAAATATGTGTTGAATTACCAGTGTTGTTGTCCACTTTTTTTCTTGTGTCAGATTTGCAAAAAAAAAAAAAAAAAAAAAAATCTGCATAACAACCTCGAAAGGTCTGGATGTTTTGGTGCTCAGTCTTCCTTATCCCGGGGGTATCCTGATGTATCCGGGCTCACGTCTTTGGGGCAAAGCACAAGTCACCAACAAACTGTAACCTGCACTTTGTAGTGTGAACCTGGCTCTTAGAATGAGAAAGAAAATCCTCTCACTACTTAACACAACATGACACATACACGCATAGACTCATACGCTTACATTATTAAGCATATACACAAGCACACATATATACAACCATAAACGCATGCATGTATACATATACCCACACATACACATACACTTAGCCCTCATTTATACAATATAAACACGCTCATACTCACATTCATACATGCACATAGATGTATAAATACGTACAATATGCGTATTCATAAACATGAACAAATCACACTCATATACACACACGTACTTATCCACACTCTCTCTTACATATGCATACATACTCATACATCATCAGCATCATCATCATTATCATAATGTAGCAGGTCTTTCTCCAGAACGTCGCTCTGGTCACGGTCTGCCTGAATGAAATTCTACAGCTCTCCCGCCTAGTGTAATTTCACATTCAAGGAGTCACTTTCATCCGATCTTTTTCCTTCCAGGTACCATTCCTTCTGCTATTATTTTTTTTCCAATCCTCAAATGCGTTTGTTATGCTAAAATACTTCAGCTTCCGAGCCTAGATGCAGATTATTAGCCAATCTTCCTTGATGTTCATATCTTTTGAAATGTCAGTATTTCTTCTCTTTGTCCTTGGCATTCTGGGAATCTTCCTATAGCATTTCAGCAAAAAAGCCCCTATCTTCTTTATTAATGACACAAGACAATCATAGTCTTTAGCTCACTTTACTACGCTAAAGGCAAGGTGCTGCATCTTACTCATATGGTTCGAGAGCTCTATTTAAACAGAAGAAAAAAAAAACAGATCCACTGCTCCTTTAAAAAGCATGCCAAAAAAAGAGACTAACTAAGGGTTTGCTAAAGCAGATGTGTTGGGCTAGAAGGCGCAGATATCACAGTTTAGCTGTAAACCACAGCACACTCTTCTAAAGCACAATACACAAGAAGGAGTCTTTTCCACTCATAGTACTAACAAGCAAAAATGGTACAGTTTATTTTTACTTACCGTGACTCCGCTGATTACAGTATTGTCTACAGAGTATCCCAAAATAATGGATAAAATTACAAATGTGAGCAAGTCTGCACGTTAAGGAAAGTAAAGGCTTAAAATGATGAGTCTAATACAGTACGTTGGGTTTGAGGTTTGAACAACGGGTCAACATCATGGCACACGGGTAGTAACCCATAAGTGCTCCGTTCTTTTCGAAGAAGCTCAGCATAGTGCACAGGCTCTGTAGCACCGGCGACGATCTTGAAATACTTTGGGTAGAATTACTCTAATTTTGCCCGGGCAACGCCATTAGACTACTATTTTCGATTTCCAGCTGCCAAGAGATTTTTTAAAGTGCGCATCAATGCACACGGGCGTCCGATCTCACTACCCAGAGACCAGGGGGAATTGCTAGAAGTCCAACTCCACGTGAAAAAGTTCCAGCCTTACCGGGGATTGAACACGAAATCTCCAGCACTCGAGGCGGACACCATGCCTCGAGACCTCGGGTCTCAGGTAGATTGCAGCTTACTCAAATTAAATGATAAGAATGTATTAACTAATAAACGTTTGAGCCTGAAGGAGATAACCCACTAACACGATGAGAAAGACGAATGTAAAGCAAAAAACGGAGGCTCAGTAAGGTAATGTAATTACTGGAATTTGGAACAAAATGGTAAGAACAGTAATAGCAGAAGGAATGGTACCTGGAAGGAAAAGGATGGAATGAAAGTGACTCCTTGAATGTGAAAGTACACGAAGCGGGAGAGCTGTAGAATTTCATTCAGGCAGAACAGTCTATAATATAAAGGAGCCCACAAAAAAGCATGCTTTTTTGCTTGTTTACTTATGCTTATTCGACGAATCAACGTAGTGGCCCACGGGTGTAACCCATAAGTGCTCCGTTCTACTTCTAACTCAAGGCTGAGTCTAAAGAAACTCAACGCAGTGCATAAACTCTGTTTGGGGCTTGAACCCGGGACCTCCAGCATCGAGGTAGACAACATATCTCGAGACCACTCAACCTCCAGCATGCTGAGTTTTTATTGGGAATGAATGAGTTAATGTAGCAAAATTATTTCAATTGTAAAAAAAAAAAAAAACCCACTAAAATTCAATTTAAAAACTATTTTGTCAAAGGATACTGGCCAATATAACATTAACTCCATCAACTGCATACTTGTAGTAGTAGACTTTGATGCTTCTGTGAGCGTACATGATAATTTCGCTCATCTGTTCATTCCCGCTCTGTTTATCAAACAGAAAAGAATATCACATATTGCAATTACTGGTTTTACCAAATGAAGCAGTTAAACACATCTTCAACAAGTGCTGATAGATAACTAAACACATCTTCAACAAGTGCTGATAGATAACTAAACACATCTTCAACAAGTGCTGATAGATAACTAAACACATCTTCAACAAGTGCTGATAGATAACTAAACACATCTTCAACAAGTGCTGATAGATAACTAAACACATCTTCAACAAGTGCTGATAGATAACTAAACACATCTTCAACAAGTGCTGATAGATAACTAAACACAACATCAACAAGTACAGACAGGCAACTGAATACATCTTTAACAAGAGCAGATAAGAAACCAAGTACATCTTTAACAAGAGCAGATTAGCAACTACATACATTTTTAACAAGCGCAGATAAGAAACTAAACACATCTTTAACAAGGACAGATAGGCAACTAAATGCATCTTTAACATGGACAGAAAAGAAACCAAGTACATCTTTAACAAGAGCAGATAAGAAACTAAATACATCTTTAACAAGAGCAAATAGGAAACTAAATACATCTTTAACAAGAGCAGATAGGAAACTAAATACATCTTTAACAAGAGCAGATAAGAAACTAAATACATCTTTAACAAGAGCAGATAAGAAACTAAATACATCTTTATCAAGAGCAGATAATAAACTGAATACATCTTTAAGAAAAGCAGATAAGAAACTAAGTACATCTTCAACAAGAGCAGATAAAAAACTAAATACATCTTTAACAACAGCAGATTAGCAACTACATACATCTTTAACAAGAGCAGATAAGCAACTAAATACATATTTAACAAGGGCAGATGAGAAACCAAGTACATTTTTAACAAGAGCAGATAAGAAGCTAAATACATCTTTAACAAGAGTAAAAAAGAAACTAAATACATCTTTAACAAGAGCAAAAAAGAAATTATATACATCTTTAACAAGAGCAGATTAGCAACTACATACATCTTTAATAAGAGCAGATAGGAAACTTAATACATCTTTGACAAGGGCAGATAAGCAACTAAATGCATTTTTAACAAGGGCAGATAAGAAACCAAGTACATCTTTAACATCAGCAGATAAGAAACTAAATACATCTTTAACAAGAGCAAATAAGAAACTAAATACATCTTTAACAAGAGCAGATTAGCAACTACATACATCTTTAACAAGAGCAGATAAGAAACTAAATACATCTTTAACAAGAGTAAAAAAGAAACTAAATACATCTTTAACAAGAGCAAATAAGAAACTAAATACATCTTTAACAAGAGCAGATTAGCAACTACATACATCTTTAACAATAGCAGATAAGAAACTAAATACATCTTTGATAAGGGCAGATATGCAACTAAATGCATCTTTAACAAGGGCAGATGAGAAACCAAGTACATCTTTAACAAGAGCAGATAAGAAACTAAATACATCTTTAACAAGGGCAGATAAGCAACTAAATGCATCTTTAACAAGGGCAGATGAGAAACCAAGTACATCTTTAACAAGAGCAGATAAGAAACTAAATACATCTTTAACAAGAGTAAAAAAGAAACTAAATACACCCTTAACAAGATCAAATAAGAAATTAAATACATCTTTAACAAGAGCAGATTAGCAACTACATACATCTTTAACAAGAGCAGATAAGAAACTTAATACATCTTTGACAAGGGCAGATACGCAACTAAATGCATTTTTAACAAGGGCAGATAAGAAACCAAGTACATCTTTAACAAGAGCAGATAAGAAACTAAATACATCTTTAACAAGAGCAAATAAGAAACTAAATACATCTTTAACAAGAGTAGATTAGCAACAACATACATCTTTAACTAGAGCAGATAAGAAACTAAATACATCTTTAACAAGAGCAGATAAGAAACTAAATACGTCTTTAACAAGAGCAAATAAGAAACTAAATACATCTTTAACAAGAGCAAAAAAAAAAAAAAAACTAAATACATCTTTAACAAGAGCAGATAAAAAACTAAATACATCTTTAACAAGAGCAAATAAGAAACTAAATACATCTTTAACAAGAGCAGATAAGAAACTAAATACATCTTTAACAAGAGCAGATAAGCAACTAAATGCATCTTTAACAAGGGCAGATAAGCAGTAAAATACATCTTTAACAAGAGCAGATAAAAAACTAAATACATCTTTAACAAGAGCAAATAAGAAACTAAATACATCTTTAACAAGAGCAGATAAGAAACTAAATACATCTTTAACAAGAGCAGATAAGCAACTAAATGCATCTTTAACAAGGGCAGATAAGCAGTAAAATACATCTTTAACATGAAAAGATAAAGGACCCTTTTTTACGATTTCAGGTGTATACAGTATTATACCTATATTTTACAGACCAGCTGGAACAGTTTGTGGCGGCTGCACTAGCCATTTGGTCCTAAGTCGACAGACCCAAGCCCCTCTGCCCCCCCCCACAATCGCCATCCCCCCCCCCAAGCCCACAATCCTCCCCCCTCCCACAATCGTCCCCCCCCCACCACAATCGTCCCCCCCCCCCCCCCCCACAATCGTCCCCCCCCCCCCTCAAATCCGTCCCCCCCCCCCCCCCCCCCCCCCCCCGTCCCCCCCCCCACAATCCCCACCCCCCCCCCACAATCGTCCCCCCCCCCCACCCCCCCCCCCCCCCCCCCCCACCCCCCCCCTCCCCCCCCCCCCCCCCCCCCCCCCCCACAAATCGTCCCCCCCCCCACCCCCACCCCCCCATCACCCCCCCACAATCGTCCCCCCCCCCCACCCCCCCCCAATCGTCCCCCCACCCCCCCCCCCCCCCCGCCCCCCCCCCCCCCCAATCGTCCCCCCCCCACAATCGCCCCCCCCCCCCCCCACCATTTCGCTGTCCAAAGACACTCTAAAAAAATAGTTTTATAGGCAATAAATACAGGTTGTAAGAAGTTTGCAAAAAGGCTATACCAGGTCCCCTCAATGACAAATGACTTTCGTCCGAGTAAGTAGCCGGTCATTTGTCGAACTAGTCATAAGTCGAATTTATGTTTTTCAACATTATTTTTTCTACTGAGGAGCGGCTGGCCGAGCGGTTACAACGTCAGGCTCCCATGCTGGAGACCCGGGTTCGATCCAGTGAAAGAGTTTTGTGTCAGAGGCAAAATTAAACACCCTAACCCGCACAGTCCGTGGCGACAGCGCTAGCCCTAAATCTTCAGGCTCACGACCCTCTGTAAACATCGCCCTAAAAAAGTGGAACATACAGATAGTAGTGACAGATTTAGACTGTTTTTATTCAGACAGGCTATAGGAACTCTAGACAGAACACAGTCGCCGTGGCAGAGCGGCTAGACGCTCGCTGCGGATCGGAAGGTTGTGGGTTCGCTCCCTGGTGGAGCCAGACTTTTTTCAAAAATGACCTTGTCTCCCACGTAGGCCCAGCCTTGAGAGGGTACCGGGTGCAGTCCCGGGAAGTAAAGGCAGCCGGCGTCATAATGACCACATCACCCATCTTGTGCCGATTGGTCTATAAAATATAAGTTTAGCCCTATATGCCCTAAACGCATAAGGCGTGGAAAAGGGTCATCTACTTTACTTTTACATAAAACACGAAAATTTCAGCATGTGAACGCATAACTATTGTACATAAAAAAAGTAAAGTAAAGATTGCTTTTCACGCCTAAGGCTCATCGGGTATATGGGAAGAGCGTCCCATATTTTTTACAGACCAATCGGCACTGGATGGGTAATGTGGTCAGCATTACGCTGGCCGTCTTTACTTTCCCAGGACAGCCATCCTGGTACCCATTTAAGGCTGGGTCGACCTGCGATGGCCCATAACCATGATACAAATTCACGCAGCCAGCAGTGGGTTTCGATCGCGGTACGTTGGATTACAAGTCGGACTCGCAACGCCGGAAAATACATATTTTTGAATGTATTTAAAAAAAAAAAATAACCATAACTTTTTCACCATACCAATTATCTTTCTTTATTTACCATGTTTATTTTCTTGTGGTCGTAAAAATGTAAAGAATATGTCAGTGCTGTAATGGGTATGTATGTCGCTTGACTAGTATTTATATTGACCAGTCAACAGTTAGTGAGTGTAGGCATCAACACCATACTGGATGCCTTCATTCATTACCCCGTACCCCTATCTGGTTGGGTTGACACTGGAGTTGAGGTCAATATGGAAAAGAAACTCAATGGGGATTCAAATCTACGATCTTTGGGCCAGCACGCCAGCGTCTAGAAACTACACCGCCTCTCCCAGACTGTTATTATCATCACTATCCTCATTATTGTCAATATCGTCATCATCATCACCAACATCGTTATCATCCTCACTATCGTCATCATAACCATCACCACCACCATTACCATCATTATCACCACCACTAACATCATTATCACCATCACCATCATCACCATCATTATCATCACCATCATTACCATCATTATCATCACCATCATCACCATCACCATTATCATCATCACCTTCATCATTCATCATCACCATCATCACCATTATTACCATCATTATCACCACCATCATCACATCATCATCATCATCATCATCATCAAGATCATTACCCCCATTATCACCACCATCATTATCATAACCATCATCTTCACTCTCATCACCCTCATCATCACCCTCATCATCATCATCATCATCATCGCCATCATCACCATCATCATCGCCACCACTATCATCATCATCATCAACCACCAACATCATTATTATCATCATCATCATCATCCCAACATCGTCATCATCATCCACATCACCATCATCATTACCAACATCGTCATCATCATCATTATCATCGTAATCAACATTACCATCATCATTATCACTATCATCATCATCATCAACAACGCCATCATCACCATCATCATCGCCACCACTATCATCATCATCATCAACACCATCTTCATCATTGTCCTGATGTGCCATTCTATTTTACATAGGGCTCACAGTAAATATCTCTATTCTCCTCTATCACGTGCAGTCCCTTCGATACCAGGGGATGGAATCCAGTCCAGCAAGTGTGGCTTCTCAGCAACGTTCGTTTTAGTGTTTTTTTTTTTTTAACGTTCTCGCTTCTTCGGTCCCTTTATATATCGTTTCAGTGCTTGTCTGGTGATTCTCTGTACGGTTCTTCTCAGGTTGTGTCCAGTGTAACGCCACCTTCTTTCTCTCATAACTGTTGTTACCAGTAGTTGCCCATACATTTCTCATATTTCATCACCCCTTTTGAATTAATCTTATGCTGAAAATATTCCTCATGCATTTGTTTTCGAATACATTTAACTTTCCTTCCATGTTTTTGGGTGTTATACAATTTTCAATACCAGATGTTAAAAGTAAAAAAAAACATTTGAAGTTTTCGGCTAATTTACACCCAAAAGATTTGGGCTAATTCACACACAAAAGATCTGGGCTAGTTTAAACCTAAAAGATGTGGGCTAAAATACAGTGGAACTTACACCAGACGAGCGGCCACAGTCCCCTATCTGCACCTCATCAGGGGGTAGATACAAGATTTTGGTAATCATTTTGCTGTTGAGCTGAAAATTTTAGTGGAAAATCTCAAACTATATTTGAAATCAAAATTAACTCATTTATTATCAAGACTGACTATGTGTGTGCCGGCATTATAATTACCAAAATCTTTATCCAACAGCAAAAAGCACTAATATTTATGGACACATATAAGAAAAACCCATCCAGTACTCAGTTGTTATATTAACATAATCTTTTCATTTTCTGTTGGCTGCTGCTGCAGCTTCTTCATCTTCTTCTTATGTTTCTGCTTCTTTCTTTCTTTCTTTCTTTCTTTCTTTCTTTCTTTCTTTCTTTCTTTCTTTCTTTCTTTCTTTCTTTCTTTCTTTCTTTCTTTCTTTCTTTCTTTCTTTCTTTTCTTTCTTTCTTTCTTTTCTTCTTTCTTTCTTTCTTTCTTTCTTTCTTTCTTTCTTTCTTTCTTTTTTCCTTTCTTTCTTTTCTTTCTTTTTTCTTTCTTTCTTTCTTTCTTTCTTTCTTTCTTTCTTTCTCTTTTCTTTTCTTTCTTTTCTTTCTTTCTTTCTTTCTGTCTGTCTGTCTTTCTTTCTTTCTTTCTTTCTTTCTTTTCTTTTCTTTCTTTCTTATCGTTCTTTCTTTCTTCTTTATTTCTTTCTTTCTTTCCCCCTTTCTTTCTTTCTTTATTTCTTTCCTTTCTTTCTTTCTTTCTTTTCTTTCTTTTCCTTTCTTTCTTTCTTCTTTCTTTCTTTCTTTCTCTTTCTCTCTTTCTCTCTTTGTGTGAATAAGTGTGTCTGTTTGTATGATTCTGTATGTACCTTTGCATCTGTGTGTCTGTGATGTGTGTGTATTTTTGCATATATATTTGAAGGTATACATTTACCAGCTATGCTTTTGTATTTTTACTGTAATTCTTACTATGAATTTTCATTTATCTTTATTCATAAAGTATAATTGTCGTGTGAAAGATGAGTGGTTGAAAGGGCTGAATGTAAGGCTGGCATTCATGACCAATTTGGATCCCTTTGGAAACAAAGTTTGTTGATTTGTTCGTTAGATCATTCGTTCATTTGTTTATTCGTCCTTCTCTTTCTTCTTCTTCTTGTTCTTCTTCTTCTTGTTTATCTTCTTCTCTCGTTCTTCTTTTTGTTGTTGTTTGTTGTTGTTGTTTGCTCTTCTCCTCCTTTTTTTTCTTTTCTTTTACACACACACACACACACTCGCACACATAAACGCACAAACACACACAGAAGTGAACGCACGCACACATACACACTCACACACAAACACACCTGACCTAGGTGGTCCGACCACTATTCCGTTAGTGAATCACTTCACGACTACAGTATCACCTTTCTACACCAACCTTAACAGATATGCAGTTACCAAAGTTCGTACCATGTAAACCAAAATACCTTTGCCGTGGGAATCGAAACAACAAAAAACCAACACACAGCCCAGACTACACAGTGGACAATCAGCAACACGGGGACTCCAAGAGCCAGCCAGAGGTAGGATAGGCGTCTCTTCTGAATAAGTAAACACGTCCATTGATTAGTGGAATGTGGCACACATACCATTTATTGTATTAACAACATATTTACTAATTTCCTGTAAGCAATTTTATCCCGTGTGTACAAGCAGTGTGCCCTTGTCTGTCAGGTCTATCTTCCGAGCACTCCGCTTGATGGTAGTGAAACTTTGTCAGTTTTATTTGCACGATGAGAAATAGCTAAATAGCTGTCACATGCGATGCCTAAGAAGAATACTTAACATTACGTGGCAGGATAAGATCACAAATCACTGAGGTACTGGAAAGAGCAGGTGTTACAACAGGTTTCTCAATGAGCGGTATACGAAAGCTCAGGTGGCTCGGCCACGTCCTGGAGGATGGAGGATGGCAGAGTCCATAAGGACATTCGTTCGTTCGTTCTTCTTGTTCTGCTTCTTGTTCTGCTTTTTGTTCTTCTTCTTCTTGTTCTGGTTCTTCTTCTTGTTCTTGTTCGGACCTCTACTTCGATATAAGATGTGTGTAAGCAGGATACGAATGATACAGGTATTGAGGTAAACTCGGAAAGGGAATGAGAATGAAGGAAACAATGATTGAAGAAACTGAGAATGAAGGAAGAAATGATAGCAGAAACTGAGAATGAAGGAAGAAATTATTGCAGAAAGAATGACAGCTGAGCGTCTGAGAAGAAACTAAACACAAATTATGGGAAACAACGGTCCTAAAATCCCATACTATAATAGAAGGAGAGTTTTCTTAACGAGGGCGGGTCTTGCTAGTCACAATCGCCATCTCCATGGGCTGTGTGTCCTATGCCTCCTCATAAGACAATATAACATTATCATCTAGGAAAAAACACGATATTGTGTTAACAACAACAATAACAAGCACAGTACTACAGGAACAAGCGGTATCAGGACATATTTAACAAAATAATAATAATAATAATACATTGTTAGCTTGAATGTAAGTGATTAAAATAATTATAAACGACAAGTGTCTCGAGATGTTCACACAAAACACATTTTATGTGAACTCTTCCGTAATAAAGGCCTAAAACTGGGCTAACAACAAGAAAAGCCACAAACTCGTATACATCCCAACACAAATACCTGATATACAAAATATGACAATTTATGCTTCCTTAGAGGAGTTTCAAGGGAAGACAGAATACGAAATCATGACATGAAATCAGACGAATGCTAGGAATAAAGCCAGTCTTACAGGTCATCAAAAAAAAAAATGAAGTGGTTTGGACACCTAACAAGAATGCCATGGTAATATCTGCCACAGCGAGCCACACTAAAACGATACAAAGGGTATAGAGCGAGTGGAAGACCTCGGAAAATATGGAGTGATGACATTAAAAACAGCCTAACAGAAATGAACATCAGTCCTAATAGTGCTCTTCACAGAGATCATCAACGAACATTACATCTCTCCCCGACACTTCGATGAGGCGTTTTGAGGTGGAAGAGAAAGAAGAAGAAGAAGACTAATAAGAAGAAGAAAAAGAAAAGAAGACGCAAGAAGAAGAAGTCCGAAGAAGAAGAAGAAGAAGAAGAAGAAGAAGAATGCTTTCTTCACTACAACATGTTGCTATCTTTCCTGGAAAATCGTGAAGCAGTAGGAGGTGTTTGGGTTAGAGTTTGAGACCTCCAGTTGAATATCTGTATCCAGCCAAAGTCGACACTGTATCGTATAAGTCAATTTATAACTCAGGTTAAAATCGTGTAACCTCTGTCCAGCCTATTGTTTTGTCCATGTGAGCAGTGTCGGATTTGTCTAGGCCCTTAGCTGTCTAAATGCACTGAGGCCCTACCTTTTTAAATTACACCAGCTGACCTCAGAAAACCTTAAAATATATCATCATCATCAATGCCTGGCGTAGGCGTCCATACACTCCTACAGATCTCGGTCTTTGGTGTTCTTGATCAGTTTCACTGATAATATTCATCCATACCACTATCCTAAGCCGTCCACCATCTTTTCTCTTCGTCTTCCTCTACCTCTTCTACCAGTGATCTTTCCAGTACTCGTTTTCTCAACACATGACCAAAGTAGTTAGTTTGTCTCCTTCTCATTATTGTATATAATGTTGTACTTTCATTAGTCACATCAGGGCATTCAGTGTTGGTTATTCTAGCAGTCAAAGATATTCGCAACATTCTTCCCAAAAAACCACTTCTCAATCGTCTCCAAACTCTTCTCAATTAAAATATATACACCGTTTATATGCACGGGTAATAGAAATACAATTGTC